AATTGGATGACAGTTCTCTTCAGTTGTATCTGACTCTGTGACCCTATGAGCTGTAGCCTGCCAGGCTCTTGTGTGTCCATGGGATTCTCTCGGCAAGAACACTGGAGTGGCTTGCCATGCCCTCCTCCAGGAAATCTTCCCAACCCAGAGATAAAACCACCATCTCTTATGTCTCCTGCATTGGCAGGCAGGTTCTTTAAGGCTAGCACCACCTAGGAAGTCCTTTATATTGGATAATTTAAGCCATTTTTGTTTAAATAGTAATTGATCCTTTAATTTATCTAATTTTATAATTAAATAATTTAATTAATTTAATTTAATAATTAAATTTATTTAAATAATTTAATTAATTAAATAGTAATTAATAAGTAAATAGTAAGGATTTAACACTGTAGTTTTGTTGTTTTCTGGCTGTTTTGTAGACTTTGTTCCTTGATTCCTCTCTTGCTATCTTCCCATATGATTTGGTCAACTTTTGTAGTCATACTCTTCGACCCTTTTACCAGACTTTTTTGTGTATCTACTACTGATTTTTCCTTTGTGGTTGCCATGAGGGCTTCCTAGGTGGCTCAGTGGTAAAGAGGGTTTTAAAAAAAGAAGTGATCTTAGGGTGAAAAGTAATGGGACTATGATTTTCTCCAGTTAGATGCCCAGGAGTGGGATTGCTGGGTCATAGTGTAGTTCTATTTTTAGTTTATTAATGAACCCCCATGCTGTTCTCCATAGTGGTTGTATCAATTTACATTCTCACCAACATTGAAAGAGGGTTCACTTTTCTCCACAAAAGAGCATTTACTGTTTGAAGATTCTTTTGATGATGGCCATGCTGACTGGTGTGAGGTGATACTCTTTATAGTTTTGATTTGTATTTCTCTAATAATTAGTGATGTTGAGCATTTTCTCATGTTCTTGTTGCCCATTTATATGTCTTCTTTGGAGAAATGTCCATTCAGGTCTTCTGCCCATTTTTTGATTGGGTTCTTTTTTTGTTATTGAACTGCATGAACTGTTTGTATATTTTGGAGATTAATCCCTTGTCAGTTGCTTCATTTGCACATATTTTGTCCCATTCTAAGGGTTGTCTTTTCATTTTGTTTATGGATTCCTTTGCTGTCCAAAAGCTTTTAAGTTAAATTAGGTCCCATTTTTTTGTTTGTTTGTTTGTTTTCTGTTACTCTAGGAGGTAGGTCAAAAAGGATCTTGCTGTGATTTATGTCCAAGAGAGTTCTGCCTATGTTTTCCTCTAAGAGTTTTATAATATCGACCTTACATTTAGGTCTTTTAATTCATTTTAAGTTTATTTTTGTGCATGATGTTAGGGAATGTTATAATTTCATTCTTTCACATGTAGCTGTCCAGTTTTCCCAGCATTACTTATTGAAGAGACTATCTTTTCTCCTTTGTATATTCTTACCCCCTTTGTCACAGATGGTGACCTTAGGTCCATGGGTTTATCTCTGGGCTTTCAGTCCTTCTCCACTGATCTGTATTTCTATTTTTGTGTGTGTCTCATACTGTTTTGAGCATTTCAATTCACCCCAGTAGTTCATTGCAGCACTATTTACAATTGCCAGGCATGGGAGCAATCTAAATATCCATCAACAGAAGAATGGATAAAGAAGATGTGGTATGTATTAATAATATACAATTATATTACTCAGCCATAGAAAGGAATGAAACGGCAATTTGCAGCGATGTGGATGGACCTAGAGGCTATCATACAGAGTGAAGTGAGTCAGAAAGAGAAGAACAAATATTGTATAATATCACTTATATGTGGAATCTAGAAAAATGACACAGATGAACTTATTTGTAAAGCAGACATAGAAACACAGATGTAGAGAACGGATGTACGGATACCGGAGGGGGTGAGAGGGGTGGAATGAGATGGAAGAACGGGACTGACATGCGTGCACAGCTGTATATAAAATACATGGTGAATAGGAACATACAGTACAGCCCCGGGGACTCTCAGTGTGTGGTGTGACCTGAATGGGAAGGAAACCCAAAGAAGAGTGGACATATGTGTACACACAGCTGGTTCACTTTGCCGTGCAGCAGAAACTAACACAACGTTGTAAAGTAACTCTACTTCAGTGTTGTTTTTTTAAAGCAGGACATTGAGGTCCCGATGCTCCCTCTTCAGCCATAAGAACAAGGGAATGAGACTGAGACAGAAAGAGACCAAGCAGGTTTATATATAACCACAGAAAGAGAACTTTACGTAAGTCTTAAGATCAGTTGAAATAAATCTGACAGATGTTGAAGATTACATACTTTTGAATACATTTAGCTCAGTGGTTCAGAAACTCTATGTAAGAACAAAATAATTTAAAAAATCAAACATATTTCTAGCTGCCTATGCACAACGGAGCCAGCAAGAGCCAGGAACTGGTGTTGTAAATGCTAACAGGTCAGAACAAGTTCAATACATTTTTAAAAACTTTGGCAAGATATAACATATAAACAAAGAAATAAAAGTTGCAATGGAATAAAGGGAGGTAAATATATTTTTTTAAAAAAAGAAAGTAATGGACAAAAGTAAGAAATACTATTTTAGAGGTTCAAAGAGACAGTGTTATTGATTAATATTCTTTGGAGTGTAAGGCAGGAAAAGGAGTCTAGAATGACCAGATCTTCTTACTTGAGTGATCAGTACCATTTACTAGTGAGAAATGTGTGTTAGGGTAGTTCAGTTTTACATATGTTGACTTTGAATAATTTGTGAGACATTCAAGTGGATTATGTCAAGAATACAGTTACACATATAATCTGAAACTTAAAGAGAAATCTGGCCTAAGATATTTCATTTAAATGTCAACAAATCGATACTTTGTAGAACTAACAGAAGAAATGTGATCACCCAGTGAGAGTGTTCTGCATGATACGAGTTAAGTCGTAAGTGTAGAAGTCCAGATAATACAAATACTTAAGGAATATGTAGAAAAGAAGATACTGTTTTAGGAACCTGATAAAGGAAAGGTGTAGAGGGGAGAGAATACATATGGAGAGTAGTGAGGGGGAGCAGAGTGCTACCACAAAGCCAAGAAAGGCAAGAGCTTTACAAGGGACAAGACCACTGGCGATGTCTGATCTAGCAGAGGACAGAGGGTTTAAAACTGCTTTTAGAATCTGGCAACACGATTGAGGAGTTTTGGTGGAGAGGTAAAGACAGAAGCCAGATTTTACTGGAGGAGGCATTGGAAGAAGTGAGAAAGAAGACAGAGCTGATGCAGATCATGACTGAACAGAGCTATATGTTTTTATCTAGTAATACTACACAGTTTAGAAATAGGGCTGCAGAGGTGAATTACAGAACAGATTTTGCTAAATGACCAGGTTTGTGAGAGATTTGATGATCTGGCTGAGAAAGTGGTTTGAATAATTAACTGTGGCATAGGATCCTTAAAGTCTGACTGGCCTGGGAAGAGCTGAGATACTGGGGAAAATGGAGAAATTGTAAAACAAGGGCATTCTCTGAGAGCAAGGGCATATAAAAAGCAAAGAAAATAAGAGATGGTAAAAGCAAAATCAAGAGTTGATAAAAGGGTGCTTATTCAGAGAGTTGTTGTCTAGTTGCTAAGTTGTGTTTGACTTTTTTTGTGACCCCATGGATTGTAGCTTGCCAGGCTCCCCTGTCCATGGTATTTTCCAGGCAAGGATACCAGAGTGGACTTTCCTCCAGTCATTTCCTTCTCCAGGGGATCTTCCCGATGCAGGGATCAAACTGATGTCTCCTACATTGGCAGGCAGTTCTTTATCACTGAGTCACCTGGAAGCCCCTATTCAGAGAGCAGTATACTGGAATTATGATTTTTAGGTGATGCAAGAATTGAAGATGTGCCATTCCTCATGGGGCAACATAGATTGGACACTTATTTCCTTACCCATCATGCAACACTATTCTTTTCAATAAAATTTCACTTCAACAAATTCTCTTAAGCACCTATAGATTATGTTAGATTAACAAATTTTACTTGGACAGGTATCAGTAAGCAAGATTTTAATAACAAGGAAAAATTTTGTTATTACTCATACTTGTTCATTTGTTGAGTTGTTTTAACCCAATCTGATGCTCATTTGATGGACAGAATATTTTTATCTAACCTGGTAGATGACCCTCTGGTCTTCTCTGCTAACCAGAAAAGCATTGATGGTATCTGTTTAGCAGAGCACTTGGGATTTTGCACAAACAAGCACATACATCGATACACATACTAACACATGCACACACACTTATATACTTGCACATGCACAGATGGATGATGTCACATACACTTTCATAAGGAAACAAAACCTGATATTTTCACCTCATTTGAGATACTATTCCTCATAGGATACTTTTGAAATGGGCAAACAGAAAATCATTGTTCCAAAGAGCTGCGACAACATGATGATCTGCAGTTGTGAAATTACTGGCAATGAGGAGTACAAGATTTTAGTCACAATGCAATACAGAAGGGTCAACAACAACAACCATGTAATCAACATTGTGAATTGAGGCAGTTTACTCATTTTGCTCTGGACCTGTGTCTCTCATTAAAGTCGCCCTAGAGAAGCCTGGCAACTTAAAAGTAATTTATTTCTGAGAAATAGACTCATTTCTTCCTCATCTTACCAAATTCATTTATTACAGATGTCTTTTAGGTTAATGAAATCATTTTTCTAGTTTGCTATTGCCCCTAAATGGTTTAAATGTACTAGCTGTGCATGCCTGAATATCCAGTTAGAGCAAAAGTCATGTTTCAGAGGTAGAAAGGGAGGGGAAAAAGCATTCAGGGAAATATTATTTTATGTTTAGTAGAAAATAGGAATCAGACAACAAGAACAGAGAAGAGGTGGACAGGGCCAAATGGTTCATAATTTAATATCTGTAATTTCAGACCAAGAAATACCACACTATTAAGACAAGGAGTGTAATTGTCAAGCACCTATGCGGGACTGTGTTGCAGCGTTTGTAATAAGCAGATGTGAGGCCAGGATCATCTAGAGATAAGCACTGGAGCGCGGCGGGCGGAGGGCCGTGTCCTCCAGCGATGGCTGAGTGGGGCTGGGGCTCGAGGCGGGGCCGGGCCACATGCTCCGCGCTCCCGGGCTTCACAGCGCTCTGCCCACCCGAGGCAACAGTCGGGGAGACTGCAGAGAAATCAGACATTCCTGCTGGCTCCATAAATACCGATGGATTAAGGCAGGAAAAGTGAACTGTGTCACTGACATCAAGAAGTCGGTGCTGATAAATAACTCTGAGAAGAGAGGATGGGTCCAAGTGACAGAAAACGAGGACTGGAATTTCTCCCGAAGTGTCTGTCGTCGGGCTTCAGGAAGACTTGTACAAGGATGAGCGTGCAGACCATCCACAATGTCTTTAGTGTCGAAACTGGCCACTGGCTCTCAGATGATCAAATAGTCAACGATTTCCCGAACCACTATGAGCTGACGCGCGAGGACCTGATGGTGAAGAACATCAAGAGATACAGGAAAGAGCTGGAGAAGGAAGGGAGTCCGCTGGCGGAGAAGGACGAAAGCGGGACGTACCTCTACCTGGACTGTGTCCCCGTCACCTACATGCTGGCCACCGACTACAACCTGTTCGTGGAGGAGTTCCGGGAAAGCCCCTCGAGTACCTGGATTATGAAACCCTGTGGCAAAGTCCAGGGAAAGGGCATCTTCCTGGTCAACAAGCTCTCGCAGATCAAAAAGTAGTCCCAGGCCAGCAAAACATCTTCGTTCGCGACTCGGCCCACCAAGGAAGCCTACGTGATCTCTGTACATTAACCACGCGTTCCTGATCGGCTGCAGGAAGTTCGGCCTGCGCCTGTACGTCTGGTGTCTGTGTACCGCCAGCTGTGCTGCTCCAGGTATGAGCTTGGACTTGGCCGCTTCTGCGCAGTGAAATGCACCCCGAGCACCAGTGAGCTGGACAGCATGTTTGTCCACCTCACCAGTGTCGCCATTCAGAAACACGGGGAGGACTACAACCACATCGGGGGGGCGAGTGGACCGTGCACAACCCACGGCTCTACCTGGAGAGCACCCGAGGCAAGGAGGTGACCAGCAAGCTGTTCGAGGAGATCCGCTAGATCATCGTGCAGTCCCCGAAGGCCGTGGCGCCCGTGAGGAACAGCGACAAGCACTGCTTTGAGTGCTGCGGATACGACATCATCATCGACGACAAGCTGAAGCCCTGGCTGATGGAGGTAAACGCGTCCCCGTCCCTCACCTCCAGCACTGCCAACGACCGAATCCTTAAGTACAGCCTGATCAATGACACCCTCAACATCGCGGGCCCTAACGGTGAAATTCCAGGCTGTAAATGGAACAAGGCACCCCCAAAGGAAGTCCTCGGCGATTATGAAATCCTGTAGGACGAGGAGCTGGCGAGGGCGACGGGGCTGACCGAGAGCTGAGAAGTCGGCCGGGCCAGTCTCTGGGGCCCAGAGGGAGCCGACTGAGAGATGCCGGGAGGACCGTCCTCACCACCTGGAAGTGACCACCGGCAAGAGCAAGACTTACAGCCCGGACCGGTCAGAACCTGTCACCACACTGGACTCTTGCCGAAGACAAGAATTTTGGAATTTCCTTTTTCTAGAGCTTTTTTTTTTCCTTTCCTAAACCCTGTAAATAAATAAAGGCACTTCTTTGAAAGGTTAAAAAAAAAAGAGAGAAGAGAGAGAGAGAGAGAGAGAAGCCCTGAGAAGACTCAGAGAAGTACGGGGAAAGCGTGTCATTCATATGGTGGATCTAAGAAATATCAGTGCAATGGAGACTCGTTCTGTGCCACGTAGGGATGGGGAAGGGGTGCTGAGGGTCACTGATCTCTGCTGCACTGTAGACAGCTGACCACTTTCTCCTTGAACACCTCTTATCCTGTGCGAACATTCTCTTCATGACCCGCTCCTCACTGCCCCCTGCCTTCTTGATCCTCTGAGCAAGCCTTTCTGCTTACACCTCCACCTTACATATGGGGTTTTATCCTTTTTAAATATAGATATCACTGGGGTTTTATCCTTTTTAAATATAGATATAATTGACATTATATTAGTTTCAGGTGTACAACATAATGATTCGATACTTGAATACACTGTGAAATGATCACAGTAAGTCTAGTTGTGTCCATCACCACACATAGTTACAGAACTTAGTGTATATAATGGAAACTTTCAAGATCTATTCTCTTAGCAACTTTCAAATATGCAAAACAGTTTTATAACTATAGTCAAAATGCTATACATTATGCATTATACCCCCATGACTGACTGACTTTATAACTGGAAATTTGTACCATTTGACTCCCTTCACCCATTTCACCCACCCAACCCACCCCCTTTCTTTGTATCTATGACTTTCTTTTTAGATTCCACATTTAAGTGAGATCATATAGTGTATGTTTTTCTCTGTTTGAATTATTTCATTTTAATGCCTCCACGGTTCATCCATGTTGATGAAAACAGCAAATCTCACTCTTTTTTATAGCTTAATAATATTCCATTGTGTGTGTATGTGTGTATGTATGTGTGTATATGCATATATATATATATGCCACAATGTCTTTTGTCTTTGGTATTTTTTACCTGTGCTTCTTTTTCATAATTATTTATTTTTGGTTCTGTTGGGTCTTCGTTGCTGCGTGGGCTTTTCTCTAGTTGTGGCAAGCGGGGACCAGTCTCTAGTTGCGGGCATGGGCTTCTCATTGCAATGGCTTCTCCCGTTGCAGAGCACAGGCTCTGGGTTGTGCCGGCTTCAGTAGTTGCAGCACATGGGCTCAGTAGTTGGGGCTCCTGGGGTTTAGAGCAGCGGCTCAGTACTTGTGGTCCAGGAGCTTAGTTGCTTTGCTGCATGTGGTAACTTCCCGGATCAGGGATCGAACCCGTATCTCCTGCACTGTGGGTGGCTTATTTACCACTGAGCCACCAGGGGAAGCATTATCTCTACTTTCAGATAGTCTCTCATTTACATTTCATGTTGTAACTTCAACTTCTGCTTTTTTTCTAGTTACTTCTAAATCTCTGAGTCCAACTCTATTATTCTTCCCACTCTAAATCAGAGGATTTCACACCTATGAGATAGCTGAACCCAAGCTTCCCCCAGTACAGCTTGACCCAAACTACAATCCTCATCATTTCCCCCTACAGAAAGTGGTTGCCTTTTCTGCTGTGTGTCTCTAGATGGGTTCTACCATTATTCCTTCAGTTGTTTAAACCAGAGCCTTAGGGTGAGTTGTTTAAACCAGAGCCTTAGGGTGTGGGTAGTGTCACTGTTCCTTACCAAGGATCTTCTCCTTCCAGAGACAGAGTCATGGTGACTCCATGCCCTCACTGTCTTGAGAATCTACTCCTTTTCCTATGATCATCCCAGAGATGAGTTTATTTAGGAATCCATCCTCTCTCATGGAATAGGTGCTGCATGTCTTCCTTTGCTGTTATCAGTGAGATTGATAAAACACACACTTAATAATACTACACCTCTATATAAGCATTTTCTTTGGCTCTCTTTGCCTTTAAATGAAGTGCAGACTCCTTGACAATCACCAATCACATAAGATCTTTTGTTATATTGTCCTTCCTTAGTCTCTCATCATTCTCCTGTTCTTTTTATATGCCTTGATTAAGGTCTCAGAAAACATCATGGTTTCTTACTAATTCTCCCAACAGCTAGTTTTAATAATCATTCATGGTTGCTTAGTCACATTCTTCTTTCTTCATTTTATTAACTTCTACCTGCTTTTCTAACCTCGTGTCAGAGCCTTCTCTTCTAAGCATTTTGTGACTCATCCAGTCTGAAAGAAATATGCATTTTGTACCTTACACTCTCAGTGTCTAATTCTGATTTAACATGCATTGCATTGCATTTTTATATGCTTTTCTTCAAGAAATAGTGAAATTCTGAAGATGGTGTTTTAGCTCCATAAGTCCAGCATATAACACATTGCTTGTCACTAAAATAGGGACCCAAAGTACAGGAAGGAGAGTGGCAGTTGTTGAAGAAGGACATTGTTGTCAGACGGAAAAGAGAGATACGCTAGCAATTTAAATGGATAATGATTTTGGAAAATAGATTGAGGTTTAAGGCCTTTGGGGGATTAAGAGAGGAAATCATATTTTCTGTCTTCAAGAAAATGAGTCTTCTTGGTTGATACACTTTTGGTTCACAAACTAATTTAGAACAACCTAAGGCTATCTGTTGTGCTTCCCTGGTGATTCAGATGGTAAAGAATCTGCCCACAGTGCAGGAGACCCGGGTTCAATCCCTGGGTCAGGAGGATCCCCTGAAGGGAATGGCAACCACTCCAGTATTCTTGCCAGGAGAATTCCATGCACAGAGGAACCTGATGGGCTACAGTCCATGAGACTGCAAAGAATTGGACATGACTGAGCAATTAACACACACAAGGCTATCTGTAAGCAAATGACAACTGCTATGATACACGTTAAAAGAGAAGTTTGGCAACAGGGAATATTTACAGGAATAAGGATAGGTGAGGAAGGCTCTAAAGAAAAGAAAGGACTTGAACTGAGTTTTGACACATCCATAGGTTTTGCATAGGATGAGAAAAAAAATTTTTTTTCAGGCAAAGAGGCCATCAGGTACAAGGAAGGAGATTTTTATGGCATGTGCGAGTAGTGCTAAGAATTCCATTTTAACTATTGCATTTATGAGGATCCAGATTCTCTCCAAAGATTCTGTCCCACAACTATAACTATTTTCCTGATGGTTCTATCTAGGTGTGTCCCATCCTCGTCTGAAACTCTAGACTGAAACTCATCTTCTTTCTTCCCTAGTCAGTTTCTCTGTCTCGACTTTTGAGTCACCCAGACTTCAGAACATGGACCCATTCTCACACATCCCTGACAAAGTCAAGTAATGGTTTGGGCGCATAACAGGCATTCTATAAATGCTTATTGAATCAACAAAAGAATTGGGAGTCTAGTGTGGCCATGTGAAGGTTAAACACAGGGATGATGGATTGAGTTTGGAAATGCAGAAGGAACAGCTGGTCATAACTGAGGGTCTGGACATCCTCACGTGCAAGAGAATCAAACAGTGTTTGGACAGAGAAACATCAGGTTCTGGGAACTGCA